GAAAACCTCATCCTCCTCCTCCTCCGCCTATCTTAGAAACCCTCCTCCTCCTCCTCCTCCTCCTCCTCTGAGAAGGCCCGCCCCTTCTCATTACCTTCCCACCAAGAGCTCTGGGCACGGCGCGCCTCGGCTGCGAGCCGGTTTCCCGGCCTGGCTCCAGGAAGGGAAGGGGCACGACGGCCGAAACCCCTCCGGAGAACAGGGGGGCCGTAGGTCGGGCACGTCCTCTGGCCTGTGGTTTTTGGAAGAGAAACCAGCAAGAATCAACAAATGTTCAGAAGTCGTCAGCCATCGTGGGAAGATCGTCCCCATCATTTGGTGGACTAGGTTCGAGAATGTTCCAAGCTGTAGGGTAATCCCTGCTTCAGCGTCTCGACTCAGGCACAACTCCACGGCGGGGGGCTATCTCTCGCGCACCCTCTGGGGCCCCAGGGGACCCCATGGGGGGCCCCTGTGCTCCTCTGCTGTGACCCGGGCCCCCCCCCCCTTTCACCGCTCCTCCACTACAGCACGGCCCGCCCTGGCGCCCCGCGGGCCCCGCCCGTTGCCTGCGGCCGCGGCCGGGTCGTCGGCCTCCCAGGAGAGACCGAGCGCGCTGAGACTGGGAGAAGAACTAGCTGCATCAGCATGATCCTGTTGCGCTCCGTCCGCGCGGATTTCTTGGATCTGCGGTGGGCCCTTCTACCTGGCCCGCGGAGCGCGCCAGGGGCGGCGCCAGGGGCGGCGCCAGAGGGGGGCCAGCGCGGCTCCAAGAAATCCGCGCGGAAAAAATTATGTATAAGCCTGTTTTGTTTTTTTTCGCGAGGAAGGCCAGCACGGACCGCGCAATCAGCAGTCCCAGTGAGAAACACGCGTGCGCACACAGAAAAACACGGGCGTAGCGGTTGGTCTGTGCCGACGGGTCATCGCGTCGAAGGGATCGTGTGGGATGATGTTCGATCGCTGACGTGACGTCCACAAGAGCGAACACTTCGATGCCAGCAATATGCCAAGAAACAAGGTCGATGGAAGACATTGGGCAACCCAAGATTTGCTTAGTGATCGGCTCGCGCTGGCTGATTTGTGCTCTCCTTCTGGGGAACTGCTCCGTGACCGCAGCCCTGGGCTCCAGGCATCAGCGAAACGCCACCGAAACGATAAAATGAGATCGGATCGTAACGGGCATCGGAACGGGCCACATTGGCAAGGAGCAAGAACGGAACCGATTCGGATCGGCCGCGCCAGGATGCAGAGCAACGCCGCGCAGGCACCGGGACGCATCGCATCGTCGCAGCACCGGAGCACGATCGGAGCGGGCCGGCCCAGAGCCGAAACAAATCGGATCGATCGGATCGATGTGGGCCTTGCCGAGCTGGCCAGCTCCTGGGCGCGGCGAGGCCAGCCTTAGCTCGGGCATGTCCTCATACAGGCGGATTTTGGAAGACAAATGGAACATAGTCAAACAGAGTACAAACTTCGGTCAGAAGTCTTCAAGACTCGTCCCCAGACTGTTTTTTGACTGGTGTGGAATCTTCCTCCTGTAGAGGGACGTGCCCGACTGGAGGCCAGCTCCTCCCCCTCGGGAGAAAGCCGAGCGTCCCGGCACAGAGCCCTCGTGCTACCAGAGGGGGCGCTCGTCTGGCGACGGCGGGCCTCGGCCGCGAACAGGCGCCTCCATTCTGGGTCGCGGGAGCGGCCTGGAATACCAGAGCCCCTCTGTGATGGGCCTGTTTTCCACCACCACCACCACCATAAGTTGGAGGGGGGAGAGGAGGTGGAGGAGGAGGACGAGGAGGACGAGGAGAAGGAGGAGGTGGAGGAGGAGGAGGATTGCCTCCCCCTCCAACTTATGGTGGTGGTCGTGGAAACAGGCCCATCACTCTGGAGCCCGTACGGTCGGCCCACACCACAAGGGACGCGCGAGAGGGATGCGAGGGCCCTGGACGCCCACGTCGAAGCTTTTCGAGCGGGGCGCGGCCACCGAAAGTGGCCAAGGGTGGGCCGAGGAGGCAAGGACGCCTGGGTACCCTTGGGAGGGTTGTCCATCCTTACCACGCGGGTTGACTATACTTTGAGTCGAGGGAGCGGCCAACGAAAGTCGCCAAGGGTGGGCCGAGGAGGCAAGGACGCCTGGGTACCCCTGGGAAGGTTGTCCATCCTTACCGCGCGGGTTGACTATACTTTGAGTCGCGGGAGCGGCCTGGAAGACCAGAGCCCCTCCAGAGCCCAAAGGTTTAGATCGGGCATGCCTCCTGCAGGCTGATTTTTGAATCAACAGTAAACAAAAACAATCCACAAATGCCCACGCATAGCCAAAAAGAGCACGAAAGTCCACTTCAGGTCGAGCACGTCCTCCCACAGGCGGATGTTGGACGAACAATGACAAGCAGCCAAGACAATGTTCGAAACAAATTCAACATAGTCGGGAAAATCGTCCACAAGCTATGTTCGACCATTCTTGAACATTCCTCCTGTAGAGGGACGTGCCCGATACAACCGCAAGTGGCTGGAGGCCTCCGCAAGCCGGGGGGCAGAAGCAGCACCAACTAAGGAGCCGAGCTCTATACACCGACGCTTTCTCCAGCCCCGCACTGGAGCTCGCCCAAGAAAGCGGATCCTGATGTAAGCGGGATCCTGCTGTATCCATGTTTCGGTGTTTCCCTGGGGAAGCGGTGAAACACATGTACACCGCACCACCCCGACGTCGTCCCCGACCCTCAAAAAGTCGTGGGATTTAAAAACAGCCCGCCACTGGTAATGCACATGCTTCAGTTTCCGACCAGTGTCACGCAAGTCGGACGACCCCGCCACTATGTATTGTTGAAAAGATGCGAAGCTTGCACAGGGAAGTGAACTAGCACCTTTTTTCTTCGTCAGTTTCAGAGGTCACGGGCGCGGGGGTCGAGTCCAAGAACCTCAGCGAGCAACACGCACAGCTTGAAAGACGACGCGAATGTCATTGATACCATCTATCTCGAGTGGTCACTCCCTCCCAGTAGATTCGGCTGGAGCAGATGGAACCGGAGGATCGCACCAGATCGCCGATGCATCGCCGATGCACCCGCGGCTTCAGGACGGAGAACCTCTAACTCCAGATCGCGCTGTATCGCCAATGCATCGGCAGTGCGGCACGGACCCCCGACCCCCCATGATGCAGCCCCCTCGGCAGGCCTGGAGTTGACGCCTCCATGCGCCCCCCGACGCACTGGGACCCTCGACGACGCGATCTGCCCACAGCATGGCAATCCAGCAATCGGGCCTTTTCTCCCTGGGACTGGATCCTCGTCCCAAGTTATTTCGCAGACGGCCCAGGGCCCCGTTCGGTCGGAGCAGGGCGCTCACTCTAAATCGGTCCCCGGACCCTTCACGGGGTCCCAAAGGCACCAGTCATCCGAGCTACGTCGAGCCATGGCGGCGAGGCCCCCCCGAAGGCCAACCACCGTTGTCTCAATTCTCACGCAGCCATACTCTGGTGAGGGCTGCCAAAAGCAACGACTAACCTCTAACCTTTCGTCGTGCGACTTTTTTCCACAGCGCAGAAAGGTCTCGTTGACGTCCCCCAACTTGACATCGCGCGCGCAAGGCCTCTCGGGGGACGAAAAGGGATGATAGCAAAGGGTAGGGTCGAGAATCAGCTCATGTACCTGGTTTTCCTGGCGCCTCCTGGCGCCAAGAGGCGCCCATCTATCGAGGAATGGGCCCGGCGGCGGGGCCGAAACCAGCTGCATATATCAGAGTTCGTAACCCCCGCTTTCCCTATCCTGCCCTTCCGTCCGGCCCGACATTCTCCGCCAGCCTGGCATCTGCGGCCGGCCAAACGAATAGAAGAACGCGGCCGCGGCCGCGCCCCCGTCCTCTGCCGCCGGGGCGGGGGGCTCGTCGTAGTCCTCCCTGGGGACCTCGGCAGGCGAAGCGAGAAGGCATACGTAGACCACCCCGCGCCGTGAAAGACTCACTCTGCGGGCGGCCCCTGCCGAATTGAAGCGCCGAGGGCCCTTGCCCGGGTTCCAGCCGTCTAGACCTTCAGGGGTCCGCCGATGACCGCTAATGGCGCGCGGGAGACGGACACATCGATACATCGGCGATGCGAAAGGGTTGACACAGTTCGTGCTTCCGCCAGGACAACGCGAAACGACCGTTCCGATGGTGGGTTGGGAATTGATCACGACAGGTTCGAATCCTGTGTTGGAGGAAGTCCTATGAAGGGGGCGCCATGTCGACATCGAACCAGAGCGGTTCCGAATTCTAGCTTGGAAAAAGTGTTGGGCGGGAGCGCCATTTCGAAGTCGAGCCCGAACTGTTTCGAATTCTGTTCCGAAGAGTCTTTTATGCGGGAGCGCCTTTGCGAAATTCGAGCTGAAGAAAATCCGACCTCTAGTTATTCCCGGAAAGGGCTCGAGCCCAGGGTTCTCTTTTAGTTGGTTCCCCCCGGTTTCGACGGCTGTAGGGCCGGCGAAAGTATTCTGCGATAAATTACGTGCGGGAGTAGGGCCGGGGGAATTATTCTGCGATGAATTACGTGGTAGAGTGCGAATTTGCACGTGGTCCCGAGCTGGAACCACGTGTTTTTACGTGTCCAGGCCACCCAGATGGGGGGTATCTGACACGGTGGTGTCGCGCTGGAACCACGTGTTTTCACGTGTCCAGGCCAGACATGGGGGTATCTAACATGGTGGTCCCGAGCTGGAACCACGTGTTTTCACGTGTTCAGGCCACCCAGGGGGTATCTAACATGGTGGTCCCGAGCTGGAACCACGTGTTTTCACGTGTTCAGGCCACCCAGGGGGGTATCTAACATGGTGGTCCCGAGCTGGAACCACGTGTTTTCACGTGTCCAGGCCA